CCTCTGCCTGCCGGCCCCTGGCAACCACTGAATGGGTTTGTTCCTGTAATTGTGTTGTGTCAATGGAATCATAGAGCTTGTTTCATTTGGAGCCTGGCTGCTTTCCTGTAGCATAACACATCAGAGATTCATCCGTTTGCTGCACCAGTCAGTAGTTTGTCTTTTCTGTTGCTGAGTAGTATTCCAGTATATGGATATAGCACAGTTTGTTTACCCATTCACCTGATAGGCATTTGGGTTATTTCCAGTCTTTGTTGTGATTAGAGTTGCCGTAAACATTTGTTTATGGCAGGTTTTTTTTTTTTTTTTTTTTTTTGGGGGGGAGTGTGTATGTGTGTACAGATTTTTTTTTTTTTGGAACATAAGTTGTCAGTAAATGCCTAGGAGTGGATTGTGGATGATATAGTCAGTGTATTCACAGATGAGACTTTAAGACAGACTGTATGCTTTTCAGTTGACGTAGCTGATACTACTGCTTTCCTTTTTTAGTTGGTTCTTTTTTTTTCTGTTTTTTTTGAATGAGGAAATACAGTCTTTATAGAGCATATATGGTTGAAAATCGGTAGTGAATAAAAAAAGATTGAGTGATCACTATATTCCACAGTCTGTGTTCAGCAGCCTGTGGAGCAAAAGTAAAAAATTATTATTTTTTTGTTTTGGAGATTGGCAAGCTGATTTTTGGAAAGATCAAATTGCCTAAGTTCACACAACTGGAAACGGGAGGTAGAACTAGAGGCCGATTCTCTTAGTTTTTATACTGTGCTTTCTCCTTCAGTATGAAATTGAATTTCCATAAACTGAGAAAAAATGATAGAATCCAGTAAGTTGAGTTGTAACTACGTAAAGTTGTGACCCTCATTAAGTACTGAAGTGAGGAAGTTTACTACAGCCGGGCCAGTCATTGGGAGGAGTTGTTTCAGGAGGGCGTGGGAGGGTGAGGGTGCAGAAATAAAGAGTTTTTCATTTCAGGAAATAATGTAAGTAGTCTTTAGGAGGTTCATCAAAACACCATTTTGTACCCAGAAGTTTTGTAGTTTGTAGTGGGTGCTCTTGTTTCACTGCTTGAACCATTAATATTATCCTAACGTATTTAAATTCATGTGGTTTTTTTTTTTTTTTTTTTTTTTTACCCCCTAATATGAAACCTAGTACTTGGCACAAGGTATGTCCTTCTTCAAAATGTTTAGAATGCATCTGTAAATATAAAAATACCCTCTAGGAAGATGAATGTAGGTATTTAAACAAGGCATAACCTGAAAGAAAAAAAATCCATGGAGAATACTGAAATAAGAGGATTAACATACTGTGATAGAGGGCTGTAATTTTAATTATGTCAGGGGTCACTAGTGGCCTTTATTCTTTGCATTCAACCCATTTAATCGGAATTAACTGAGAGGTGTTCCTTAGTGTCAATTGGTTTCTTATATAGTTCTTTGTATTTTAAGTTCCTTAATAAAGGAAAACATGTTGTAGAGATTGGTTATAATTTATTGAAAGATTCATGAAGTTTCAATGACATTTTTAAGGTATTTAATTAGTCTTATTAAAATATACGGACTGACCCTTTTAGGGAAGCTGATAAGTCACATAATAGCTGTTAGTGCCTTTTTATTCTTGGCTTTATACGATTAACTTTGTGCTAAGCAATTTATGCAAAATTTTTCATCTTTTTTTTTTTTTGTAACTGGAGTTATCAGTTCTTCTTGAATAGGATTAATATAGATAAAAATCATGTAATTAACAAGAGATGCAGAAAAGCGAAAGTATAATTTGTATGAGAATTATATGAGAGAGAATAATAATTTCTTACCTTGGATTTTTAAAGGGATATAAAGAAAAGCAAAATTGAGCAATTATTTGAGAGGATTAAAGTAGTCTTTTCTTTCAAAAGGTAGAATTAACGTTAGTACTAAAAGTTCTGTTAAGTGAGGTATTCACAGCTCATAACAGTTTTAAAATAATTTTGTATTTCGTAGAGGGAGTTGGTAATGTAGTACCCTTATTCCCGTGAAATGATAGAAGTTAATAAAGGAATGATCACATCAACAGAACCTCTTATGAATGCCATGATTTATATGGCATTGCTTGGAGATAAATTTGTTTTAGCAGAATCAAGGTACTATGATGGATAAAGCACTTAATAAACCAGGAGTGTGAAAATGTGGGTTCTTGTCATCTTTGTTGTCATTCATTGGTGATGTAAACTTAGTTAATTCACTTCTAACTCTGTAAACCTGAGTTTATCTCATAGAGGAAAAGTGACGTGTCTGCCAGTTTCTTGGAGCAGTATTTGTATCAGCTACAACATAATAAACTGGCTATGATATTTGACTGAGTCAGGATGTGAATGAGGCTCGTTTAACAGAAAACTTAGTTAACAGTGACTGTTTTATTTTTTGCATAAAAATGAAAAAGCTTTTATTTTTTATGTATAGCAGCTTTATCAGGGACTCACATTTTTTTCCATCTACCCATCACCTAATGCATTTGTCTGTATTCCAGGCCAAAAGAAGAGGAGGGCAAGGGCAGAAGGTACAGGCCAGCTGAGGTGTCCCCCAGGGAGCTCCCTGCCACCCATCCTCCAGCTGACAACTGCTCCTGTTGGCCAGAGTCTAGCCAAATGTCACCCTCCTTATAAGTTGGAATATGTAGTTTTTATCTGGGCAGTGTTGTCCTGAATAAAATTAGGGCTCTGTTACTAAGGAATAAGTGATAACTTGTGCTAGGTGTGAGCAGTTAAGCAGTCTTTTCCATGTGGCTGACGTGTTCGTCGGAATTTAAGTTGTGTAATTAGAGGAAAAGAGAAAAGTGCCACTTGTGTTCAAATCAAACAGAAAACAGGAAAAGTGACACTGCGTTTCAGGAGACCTGCTATTTGTCAAACTTCTGTTTCAGAAAAGCAATAGTTAACAGTCAATGAGCAGCTTTTGGGATCTTAAAGCTTAAAAGTTAAACAACTTATTTAAATATTTAAACTCTCAAGTTCTGTGAGAGCAGTGGCAAGCCGCAGATCTGCCCGGGTGAGCTCTCTCTTGTGTCCAGCAGCATCTGACATTGCCAGAAAGGTAACCGTCCACCCCTGCTTTTTTTTCTGAGACAGCATTCATTCTGTAGCTCAGGCTGGAATGCAGTGGTGTGATCGCAGCTCACTGCAGCCTCAGCTTCCCGGGCTGAGGGGATCCTCTCACCGCAGCCTCAAATAGCTGGGACTACAGGTGTCTCCCACCATGCCTGGCTAATTTGTTTTTGTACTTTTTGTAGAGATTGGGTGTCACCATGTTGCCTGGGCTGGTTTCGAGCTCCTGGGCTCAAGTATTGGCCCACCTTGGGGTCCCAAAGTGCTAAGATTATAGGCGTGAGGCACTGTCCCCAGCTGAGGCAACCCTTTTCACTCTGGTGTATTTCATGGATCAGTCATTGAATGTTTTTTTCTGAGAGGTGTCTTGCATTGTCTGCCCTCTTTTCTTATCCTGGTACCACTTGACTGATATGCGGGCATTTGTCATCTTGGAAAATGGGCCGTCATGACTTCCTCCTGATTGGACTGGATTTATCTCCCATTCAGGTGCTCTCTTTCCCTGGGCCAGCCTCCCCACCTGTAAAGGTCAGTGTGTACTTCAGGTTGTTTGGATCCTGTGCACTTGCTGACATAATGTTACTCCCTCCTCACTGCCCTTCACCCAGCTGCTTCAGGAGTCAGCACCCTGCCTGTAGCATGTACAGACTCCAGGCTACACTTGCAAATCCTTCTTTTCCCATTCTTGCTCTATTTAACTAACTTCCAAGGTGAGAAATTGCCTTGTTTACTCACTCTGAGTAAATGGTTTCTTTCTACATCTTAGATAGCGTCTTTGGTCTTACCTCTTTAATGCAGTTCTTGTAGATTGGTCACGTGAGTACTGATAATTTCTTTTACTTATTAAAGCCTGCCATGGAATTTCCATGGCTATCTGACTTTTGACTTGATGTAGTACAACTGGTTTTCTTGCCTCTGAAACACACATAGACTTGCACAATTAACACTTACATATGTAATGGTAAAACATATGATTAGGGACTGATTAGGGAATGTGAGAAAAATCCCTCCCCATTTGCTGTTCATGCCAAGGAGTCCCCAGTGTGCTCTGCAGGTGGGCAGCCTGGGTTTGAATTCAGGTTCTGCCACTTTCTAACCTTGTACTAAGTGGAGGTTATTTAAGTGGTCAGAAGATTTCTGTGAGCAGAATACCTACCTTGTAGGGTTGTGATAAGGATTAAATGAGACAGCATGTGTATTAGTCTGTTTTCATACTGCTCTAAAGAACTGCCCAAGACTGGGTAATTTATAAAGAAAAAAGGTTTAATTGACTCACAGTCCCGCATGGCTGGAGAGGCCTCAGGAAGCTTACAATCGTGACAGGAGGCGAAGGGGAAGCAAGCACCTTCTTCACATGGTGGCAGGAGAGACAGCAAAGTGGGTAAGTGCCACTTTTAAACCATCAGATCTTGTGAAAACTCATATACCATCATGAGAACAGCGTGGGGGAAACTGCCCCCATGATCTAGTCACCACCCACCAGGTCCCTCCCTCCACCTGTGGGGGTTACGGTTGGAGATGAGATGTGGGTGGGGATGCAGAGCCAAACCCTATTAGCATGGAAGTTCTGGCCTCCCGCCGGTGACCCTCACTCTTTTCCCAGCTGCAGGGGGAAGAAGCCAGTCAGCATGGTCCTCTCACTCGTTTTCTCTAACAATATTACATAGAATACGAGTTAAAATGATTTCTTACCGGCCAGATGTAGTGACTCACACCTGTAAACCCAGTGCTTTGGGAGGCCAAGGCGGGAGGATCCCTTGAGGCCAGGAGTTTCAGACTAGCCTGGGTAACACAGTGAGACCCCATCTCTACAAAAAATTTAAAAATCAGCCAGATGTAGTGGCTCATGCCTGTAGTCCTGGGCTCTCTGGAGGCTGAGGCAGGAGGATCACTTGAGCCTAGGAGTTTGAGGATGCAGTGAGCTATGATCGTGCTGCTACACTCCAGTCTGGGTGGCAGAGCAAGACCCTGTCTCTTAAAAAAAAAAAAAAATTCTGTCATACATGTAAGAACTCAGTTCTGTTAATTTTTCTGTCTCTCAACTAGTGATCACCCCAGATCTTGGCTTCTCTTTGGTCCTAGTGCATGTATGTGTTTCACATCTGCTCAGCTCGAAAGCCTCAGGCAGTTCATTGCCCAAGGTCTAGGTCAGTACATCCTAACCTTTGTTTCTTCTTTCCTTCATTCAGCCATTCAGCACCTCTCCCCGTGTTTTGTGGGCAGCTGGTTTTACAGCATGGTGCAGTACTTCCAGGTTGAGAATGTGAGGCTCGGGGAATACCTTGCTATTACAAACAGGCATTTCATTCATCCATTAAATATTTATAACCGCCTGTGTGCCAGGCACTGGGCCAAGCATGGAAACACATTGATGTATAAGGCAGGTCTGGTCTCAGCTCTCGTACCCGACAGTTGAAGGGCAGAGAGAAGTGGGAGTGGTTTGGAGAGATTCAAGAGACAAAGTTTCTAGGACTTGCTGGTACTTTATGAGGGATTTCTGATTTGAACTCAGAAAGAATGCAAACAGGGAATCTGTACTGATTTGGTTTTTACCCTGTTTGGGAACGTGGAAATATTACAGAAGACATGGACATATTTCAGAAGCTGTATATCATATTTACAGTCTGTCTACAAAAACTGCTGCTGTCTACAAAATTGTGTAAAAATGATAACGACATGTATGATGGACTTTTGTTATTTGCTAGGTACTGTCCTAAGGACTTTCCTGCCCCCGTGAGGTGGGTACTATTGTTATCGCTGTTTCGTAGGTGAGTAAACTGAGGCCCAGACAGATTCAGTTATGAGCTCAAGGCTGTAGCTGGTAAGTGGCTGGGATGGAGACAGGGCTGGGAGAGCTGTCAGGTTAGATGATGAGTGCCGCTTCTCAACCTGGGCACCTGCAGGATTGCTGGAAGTTAGAATAAAGTTCTGCTTGAACATTAGTGATGGATTTTAAAGGCTTTTATTTTCCACTGAGTGTGAAAAAACTATCATGAGAGAGAATTTTGGGGGCTTTGTTATGTATCAGTAACATTCAAATGCCAGTGACTGTGCATTTAGACAGCATGTAAATAGTCAGTTAAAGGAAAGAGAGTTTTGGGAAGAGATGAAAATCACAACATTAAAGTTCCAGGGAAGTCTTCCAGGGAATCTGATAGTGCTTAGAGACCTAAGAAGTAAGGTACCTAGTTCTCAGGTGGCTTGGAATTTTTATGGAAAACTAGGTTTGTGGACTAAACTCTTTGAGTTTATTCTTCTAATTCAGTAACTCTTTTGGAAAAAGGACGAAAGGGCTAAAGACAGAGTCCTTTTCCCTGATGACAACCTGTGGCAAAGTAAAAAAGCGAACCTTGGTTGACTCTGCTCAGGGTGGAGTGGAGGCCAGTCTGCTTTCCCAGTTACGTTTTGCCTTATCTATAATGAGAAAAATCTGTCTTTTTGAGGACTTGAAATGAACTGCCTGATGGAAGGTGGGATAAAGGGTTTATAAAGAGCCCTGCTGCAGCAGCCGCGTGGCCGGTGCTGTGGTGCCCGCCTTATCCAAGGGGCGTGTACTGCGAGTCCCCCAGTAGAGACCGTGGTTTTTCCTGTGCATGCATACCTAGGATAAAGTTTAATTTACAAATTAGGCACAATAAGAGATGAGCAACAATAGCTAATCATACAATAAAACAGTTACTGCTCTTGCATTTTGGAGCCATTATTAAGTAATATATGAGTTACTTGAATGCAAGCTCTGCAGTACTGTGACAATCAATCTGATAACCAAGACGTTGACCAAGTGACTAATGGACTAGCATGCAGGGAGTCTTCAACATGGATCCTCTGGACAAAGGTATGATTTCATTCCCCAGGGTGGATGGAGCAGGATGGCAAGAGATTTGGTCATGCTACTCAGAAAGGTGTACAGTGTAAAACTTATGAATTGTTTATTTCTGGAATTTTCCATTTAATATTTTCAGATTTCAATTGATGGTGTGTAACTCAACCCCAGAAAATGAAACTATGGATAAGTGAGGACCTCTGTACTATTGAGGATGCGACCTGTGGCACTAAGATACAATCATGGAACTTAGAAGAACTACAGAATTTTTTAAGAAATGGCGTTTTCCAGTTCTAAGCCCAGTAAGAAAAGCCGTAATAAATATTAGGGATTCACCTATTAAATAATGAAGATTGAAAGATCAGGACCTCTTTCAGCTTGTTCTAATTATAGGCAAAATTTAAAGAGAACTGGCACTTCCCTGGCATGAGAGCTGAGTGACAAAAGGCCAGCTACAGAAGCAGCCCTTCTTTCTGCACCTGGGGAGGAGCTCTGCCTGCTGCTGGTTGGTTCTGTGGGAACAGTGCACCCTGCAGCTGCACACCTGGCAACTGGCACACCGGAAAGGGGTGAAGGGGAAACTGAATCGAGATCGGAGAGAGTGGTAGTGCATAATTACCTGTCATTCTGAATGACTGATACATCAGGCTTTGCTTTACTCTTTGTTAAGATTGGCAAAATAATTGTAAATTGATAAAAACTATTCACACCCAGTGATGCTGATTTCCAGCTGTTAATACAATAAAAATGTGTTTAAGGGTTAAGTGGAAATAGCCCCAAAGGACTCTCTCGCTTTCTCTGAAAGTATATTTTACTGTTCCCGTTCTTTCTGGCACCTCCCGATGTCTGCTTTTTTGCCAGCTCATTAGCATAGTAGTGACTGATAGAGCTAATGAGTTATGAGCCCTGAAGTGTGCTGACTGTAGTTAGGGCTGACGGCTTGTCAGCACATCGGTGGCCGACTTTCACCTTCTGTTCTACTTCAGCATACTGTTCCTATCTTTTAAATGAAAAATCTGACCAAATGTATAATAGAGTGAGAATTTATGTTTATTTTTAACAAATAGACTGTTGCTAAAAATTAGCAGCAAGTCCATTACTCATGGTAGAAAGTGATGTTTAGATGCAGGTGGATGTAGAGAAGGGTGGGAAGGAGGTGCGGTGAGGATGCCGAGGGCCTTGCAGGCAGAGGGGACAGCTGTGTGGTGGAATCACTAGAAGGTGCTCAGAGGTGTGAAATTATCCTGGGCAGTGAGAGAAGGGCGAAAGACTGCTGATTGACACTGATGAGCCAGTTAAAATAAAATAAAAGCTTTTAGTGATTCCAATTCATGGGATTCTTCATGTTCCAGCCTTTAGGAGCCTGGCCACAGGGGTAGAGGAGTCAGAGGCTTGGGTCCATCTGGGCCCTGTGTCAGGCGTCTCCTGATACAGGGAGGTGACCAGAGTGACACAGGGACAGGAGGAGGTAAAGGTTCTGTACCAAGGGTTACAAGAGAAGCCGTTTTCTGTAGTAATTTTGCATTTTGGCTGAGACAGAAATGTAAGCATGAACATTTTTCAAGGAAATACCTGTGATGGAAAGGGGAAGTGCGTAATGTGATGAGTGTCCAGGGTCCACCTTCTGAGTTGGGGGTACACTACCATTTTTATATCTAAGTCGGGGAAAAGTTGTAACCCAAATTTAGTAATTTTGATAAGATTTCTTATTATATGGGTTGGAACTCCCTCCACTGTGTTTTTATTATGTCATGAATAAAATGAACCCTTGCAGGAGCTTTAACTTGGTTTTCTTGAATATTGAAATCCCTGATGTGGTTGAATGAACTTACAGAAAAATAAAAATACTAAAATCGTGTTGTGACCTTGGACCAGTGATTTAATGTCGTAAGTTTTCGTTTCCTCGCTGTGTGTTGATGAGTTCATGGGGCCCTGGTATCGACAGTGGTAACAGCGTCATACCCAGGAATTCCTGGACTCTGCCAGTGGACTGGGGGCCTGAGTTCCCTTTGGTCCTCGTTCTAAAGTGGCTGCTTATAAAATGTTGGTTCTTGACTGGTCCATGTTGAATTCGCCATGGTTGTTTAAGTTCTGCGAGAATCCCTGCAGTTGTCAGTCGCTGTATGGTAGGGAGTGTGTAGGAGCGTTTGCTGAGCTATAAAAGGCTGTGAGTCCTGGCAAGTAGAAAGAATGGCCGTTCGCATTGCTAGTACCTTCCTGTTTTGTCACCTAGAACCTGAGCCTTGATTTAGAACCCACTTCCCCAACTCTAACCCGTGCTGAGACTTTGTTCTTAGGTCTCCTCATCTGGCTCCCACTAGGCATCAAGACCTACCAGAAAAGTAAGAAAATGAACATTTAATTCAGTCAGTCTCTTTGTGAGCACCTCCCAGGTTCCAGACTTGGCAGACAGAGGCCCACACCTCATCCCGGCTGTTACTCGGGGCTCCTTCTCCCTGACCCGCTCTTGCTGTCACCTGACGCCCAGGGTGTGCCTGGCTGCACTAGTGCCAGCCAGATTCACCAGTTTGTCTTTTAACTGGTCTGTAATTTCAAGAACATCAACAGACCCACTGTTGGTGAGTTGGCTTGGACCTTGAAGTTGCCCTAGTCCAGTTCGCTTTGAGATCGTCCCCAGCAGGCAGTGCTCCTCCTCCTGAGTGTGTGCTTCTGTGGGTTGAGGATGTGTTTATTGCTGGGAGAGTGTTAGAAACCTCCTCCCTCTGTTGAATCGAAATCAGCCCCATCCAAACTCTTATCTAGGTGATTGGGTAAACCAACATCAAACCTACTTGTGGTTGATCTTGACTCAGTTACATGAAGAGAGCTATCATAACCACACTTAACGTTGGAAATGGTTTTTCATAGTTTCCAGCGGTGTTAACTAATTTCGTATTTGTAAGCTAAAATGTCATAAAATACCCATTTTTCATTTGAAGAGTTTACATTTGAGTGATTTTTACTTTTCACAACTATTAGCTTGTTTCAAGCTGTGATATTGTCTCTTTTTGGTGTCTCAGTGACATCATTTTCATCCATATGTTTTACATTTCTCAATGCAAATTCTTTTAATGAATCTTGCTGGTTCCTTTTGTATTTATCTGTTTGAAACCCCTCCCGTGTGCCTCCTCCCCCGAAATAAGCGTAGGCAAGTGTGCATTGAAACAGCTTATGAGTAATTGGAAAAGGATTTTTATTCAGGACCAGCATTGCCAATTTGCATGGGTTAGAAACAATGTGATCAGTCAAACCTCTCTGCATGCAGAGACAGGCAGTTGTTTGTTTTATTCCGTGTCATTCTGAGAAGCATCATTTCAACGTTTTTTTTGAAATAATGCAGAACCTTGATTGCTAATTTATTGTCATTCAGAAAGTTTCGAAGATTATTTTAAGACATGTTTTGAAATGCTTGCACAGCTACTCCGCAGCTTACGGTGGGTTATATCAGGATGAGGCCGCTGAAAGTTGCAAACATCGTAAGTTGGACCATTGTAAGTCAGGAACTGTCTGTATATGTCAGAATCATGTTGATACACAAAAGTAGAGATGGAATACTAATGCTATACTTTATAAAGAGAACATTTAAGTTACCTGGAGGAATACAATATTATTTTGGAGGAGATACATTCACGCTCACACCGTGTGTTTCATTGACTTCAAACAAAAGATGAAAATATTTTAAAACAAGAGGAAAAAGCTTTGGCAGTGGGAGAAAGCAGGCAAGCTCATTGAAATTCCTCATGCAGATTTAGTGAGTAACAGTATGTAATGGCCTGTGCTATTAGAAGTATTTTTCGAGCATATTATTAGCAAAGTAAAGATATTAAATATTCAAGAATATTGGCCAGGTGTTGTGACTCATGCCTCTAATCCAAGTACTGTAGGAGGCTGAGGTGGAAGAATTGTTTGAGCCCAGGCGTTCGAGACCAACCTGGGCAACATAGCAAGACCCTGCCTTTACAGAAAAACTAGCTAGATATGGTGGCATGCTCTGATCCCTTTAGCCCAGGAGTTTGAGGCTACAGTGAGCTGATTGCACCACTGCACTCCAGCCTGGGTAACAGAGTGAGACTCTGTTTCTCTCTCTCTCTCTCTAAAAAAAAGAGATCCATATCAAAGTATCTTATCAGTGAATTTTCAAATTATCATTATGATAAAGTATACACATTTATTAGGGGCAAAAGACCGTGTGTATGATATGTATTCTCACTTACAAATATATTCCTCAGTTACTGACATTTATTGGGTTCATTGTGTCTTAATTGATGTCTTTATCTAGAGAAGTGACACTCCCTAATGTCAGGCAATAGTTGGTATGGATTTCCTTGTTTCACCTAAAGTAATAAAAACCACGAGAGTTTCAGCTTTGGACTTCCTGTTGTACATGTTTCAATAAGTGCCTAAAGTTTATGTTTTTATAAAGATGTAATATTTGTGTGTTAAACATTTCTTTATTATTTTGTAGCCAACAATCTTAAGGGTTTATGGTGTTTATACTAGTGTTCATTTTGTCTGTTCTCTCAATGCCACGGGTAGAACAGACTTTTGCAGGGAGAAGGAAGGGAAATGCAGCGTGGAAGAGCATTTTCATTCCTTTTTTTTTTTGAGACGGAGCCTGGCTCTGCCGCCCAGGCTGGAGTGCAATGGCCGGATCTCAGCTCACTGCAAGCTCTGCCTCCCGGGTTCACGACATTCTCCTGCCTCAGCCTCCCAAGTAGCTGGGACTACAGGCGCCCGCCACCTCGCCCGGCTAGTTTTTTGTATTTTTTTTTAGTAGAGACAGGGTTTCACCGTGTTAGCCAGGATGGTCTCGATCTCCTGACCTCGTGATCCGCCCGTCTCGGCCTCCCAAAGTGCTGGGATTACAGACTTGAGCCACCGCGCCCGGCCAGAAGAGCATTTTCAGTGCTAGAAAATGTTGCATTTCGAGAGAACAGCTAATTAGTAATAAAATGACAGGCCAAGGCATTGGGATTGTAAGTTTGTGAGAAGAGTAATACTTAAAAGTTGTGAAATAATTGACTCAGTTTCAAAGAACAAGGTGCTATTAAATGAAAATTATTTTGATGATAGTTAATAGTTAATTCTTTTTGGAGCAGTGAAAAAGTGGTGAACATTTTTTTACCTTTATGCTGCTGCTTAGGTCAATACAGTGGTTTAAAAAAATCTCCCTGAGTATCTGAAAGGCCAACTGAAAAATGAAGTAATTTTAATTTGTCTCTCAAGAGTTTTAGTAACATGTAGTTTTTGAAAAAAGTTAATCTGTAAGAATTTGTTTAAATTTTTTTATCCAAAGGACTCTGTGTACTATTTTGTTTGTAATAATTTGGTTTCTTAAACATTTCACATTTTTCTGTTAAGTCAGGAATTGCTGATTGAATTTTTCTTTTAAAGCGAAGCAATTTTGTAGCTGCCGCCTACAGTCGTGTTAAATAGCAAAGATTAGCATCTTTAAAAAGGTAAATGTCATGACAGTGTTTTGGATTAATGGGAAAGAGGCTAATAATTGGATGGATTTCAATAAGCTTAAAAATAATATTCTTGTTTTACAATGACATTAAAACATTGACTTAATTTCTAGTTGCTGTGTTTCGATTTTGGATCTTTTAGTATGGCAGAATCACCTGTTGTTTAACACTTAGTTTGTATGTTAGTATGTGCGGTCATGTGCTGTGTAAGGATATTTTGGTGAATGGTGGACTGCATAGACGGCGGTATTTCCGTGAGACTATAATACTGTATTTTATTGTAACCTTTTCTAGGGTTGGGTATGTTTACATCCACAGATACTTAGCATTGTGTGACATTTGCCTACAGTATTCAGTACAGTCATATGCTGCCCTGGTGTGTAGCCTTCAAGCTACTGGTGTGTACTATACAGGCTAGGTGTATAGAAAGCTCTACCATCTAGGGGTGGGTGTGTGTGTGATTACAATACACTCTGTGGTGTTCGCATGATGGAATCACCTAAGGATGCATGTCAGAATGTATCCCTGTCATTAACGATGCATGACTCTGTGTGTGTGTGTGTGTGTGTGTGTGTGTGTGTATAGAAAGAGAAAGACAATGACTGTTGGGAGACACATTACTTGACATTTTCGAGGAAAACTTGGAACCAGGTCTATATTTCTGAAAATTACATACCATTTTTCTGTCCTTCTCCCTGTTTCTCTGTTGTTGTTGTTCTTTAGGGCCCACCAGAATTTCCACAGCATACACCTGGACCTGTTCCCAACAGTTTCACCCAGCCCCCACGACTCCCTCTCCAGGACCAGTGGAGAGCCCCACCCCCGCCTCAGGAGCGAGACCCTTTCTTCTTAGGAGGTACAGAAAGAGTGAGTGGTGTGGAGTAACAGCAGAAGCTGTGTTGGGTGATGTGCCCAAACACATTTATTTTGTAAACTGAATTTAACTCCCAGTTGGAGATGTTGTTGGGAATGCCAGGTTTTTGTACCATAGCAGTTCTGCCTATTGTTTCAGGTGCTAAAATTGGATATTGTTGGTATCCAAAATGGGAACATCTCATATAAAGGAGGAATTTATGTATAGAAAATGACAAACGAAGCAATCTAGAAATAAGAGGCAAAATCTGGAATTGTTTCCAAATATTCATAACCTGTCAACACTTGTGATTTTTGTCCACATTAGGATAGTGCTTCAGATTGCTTTTCTGAGCAGCACTGGTCTTTTTAACCTGAAGTTCATGATGTCGTGTTACCTTTCAGTTTCTGGTGAACCGCGATTCCCGAGCCATCTTTTTCTGGAACAGCGAAGTCCCCCTCCACCACCACCGCCTCCTACCCTTCTTAACAGTAGCCATCCTGTTCCTACTCAGAGTCCTCTACCATTCACTCAGCCAGGACC